TCTATCTATCTATCTATCTATCTATCTATCTATCTATCTATCTATCTATCTATCTGTCTGTCTGTCTGTCTGTCTGTCTGTCTGTCTGTCTGTCTGTCTGTCTATCTAAACTTCCTTTGTGAAAAATAGCAGAGTTACCTTTTTTTAAACTATTATTTAAAACAGTGGACTGCTATATTTCACAAAGGAAGACCATTTGTGCTTTCAGTCACTTTTTATTGTAAAATAAATTTGGTTAGATATCATATTATGGCATTTTTCCCGTTAGAAATACATATTTGGTTTTAATGTTATAAGGTTTAGTAGATATAAATTAATGGCAAAAACTAGTATATATTCTATTTGCATAAGATAATAATTTGATACAAATAGCAATGCACACTTTAAACAGTTTAATGTATATCCTCACTTTAATTGATGTTATAAATTAATGTGAGCTTTCATTGAAGCAAACACACACAAACAAACACACACACACACACACACACACACACTATACAGATAGTCACTGGTTTCATGTATGTGAACGAAACATTCAAGATCACAAAAAAGTTCACAGGCAGAACTAACCTTTTCATAAATTATAATAAAAATAATGACAGAATTCTTAGTATGTGTTAACAATAAGTATAATTTCTGTATTTAATTAATTAAATCAATTTAATACTGAAATCCATACATTTGTATTATCAATATAAATGAGTAAAAATGCATAGAAATCAGAACAAATTCACCAGATATATAATCACCAGATGCATAATACAGATGCAACCAATGAAACAAATGAGAACACACTACATACGCACCTCAGAAAAACATAACATAAGTTTAAACATAAGTATGAACTCAGAAACTATTGATATTTATTTTTAAATCAAAATATGAGTCCTAGAACAGAAATAGAACATGACAATTATTTGCACTGCCAAATAGCAGCTCTTCATGCCTAAATACAACATCACAACAGTAGTATGGTGGTGCGGAGAAGAGGCTAAGTTGACAAGACCAAGGAAGACACCACACCACACAACTAGTGGAAGAGCCCATGGGTGTGCAGTGGAGGAAAGACTAATGCAAAATCAGTTGAGTTTGCCATACCAGAAATGGCATAGTGGGATGCCTTGATGGAGGCGCAAGAATAGAGGCTCATGGTGGAGGTGGTACAAACTAGTTCAGATCATATAGAAGACCAATGCGAAGTCCAGAAGGCTGGAGAACCAAGGTGATACTACTTTACTGGAGGGCCCAGGTGGACGTAGAAGATCTGCAGCTTGAGGTAAAGCTGGTGGGAGTGACAAACATGATGAAGCTGGAGGGATGGTTCAGTGGAGCCCAATGATTGGAGGGTGCAGGCAGAGTCTGTTGTTTAATCTAGAAGGTGACAGATAAAGTGTAGTGTCTTTATAATCCTAGAACACAATAAGACACAATTGTATACAATGTTAAACAAATAGTATGCAAATTTCTAATATATGCAAAACAGCATTTATAAATACTAAATATGCTCAGATCAGGTCGTTTTAAAGATGTTTTTCAGTAAGAATTACAGAGTGGGTTACTTTGATGGAGCCAGAGGGTTGGAGAACCAGTGTGATTCTAGTGGATCAAATGATCAAGTGGAGACAGAAAAGGACAAGGTGAAGCCGGTGGTAATTAGGATGATGGTGCAGCTGAGGGATAAAGGTCACCATAGTTAGGTCTGGTTTAGTCAGCAGTAGTTCTGGAAATCTGTTGTAGATGGAGGAGGATCTCAGACCAGAGCGGAGTCTGAATAATGAAGGATCCCGTTGAACCAGAGGGACGACAGGCCATATAGTACCGCCAATTGACTGATCAGCAAAGGTGGAGCCAAGGCAACAGAAATCAAAACCAAACAGCTTAGCAAACTAAAATAATCACTACCAATAAACTGAAGAAACATTTTAAATAGAGATAATAATGAAAAAAAAAACATAGGTAATTCAGAAAACAGTATGTAAACACAAGAAAATTTGAAGAAAATTAACATTAAAATAGGAGTCCTAAAACAGAAACAGAATAAGACATATATAATGTTGAAGTCTAGTGCCTTTGTTGACCTGACTTAAGCTTGAACCAGCAAGTTTTAAGTCCTACTTTTGAGCCTTGGCTATTATGCAAAACCACACGTATGGGAGATGTCACTACATGGCAGGTACATTTGCAATTTAGTTAGAAGAAAATATATACACTTGTAAGTGCAATATAATTTTGTCTACATTACAGTTTGTTTTAAATAAGACATTTGTTTTAAATAAGACATTAAATATATGTTGTATTCACATTGTAATACAAAGTCCAATGAAAATTAGTTATTTCTGTTACTTACTACAGTCCTGATGTGAACAGTTTCTATGAATTAAAGTATGCATGTTGTCATGTCTATGCCACATCTGCGTATCATCCTGTAAAATCTTGAAATGTCCTCATAGTATTCCTACAAACATAACAACAAAATATTTTTCAATTGTTGTAATTTAAAAAAAAATCTGAATATGCAAAAAATATAAATACTCACATAAAGTCTGTATTTAGAAGCATAGTTTTAGCAAAGTCCAGTCTGTTTGTTGTCTGCTGTGCATCAAATGAAGTAGGTTTTTTTCTCAAATGATCTCAAATGGTGATCAGATGGTTATTTGTTTTAAGCCAGAAGATGATGTTAGTGTTCTCATAGTCCTACAAAACAATAAAACAAAATGCTGTTGTTTTAGCAATATTAAGAAAATGTATGAATAATATGGTTGTGAAAAGCAAATTCAAAACAGCATTTAATAAATATACTCACATCAGGTGTGTGTGAAGATGATTCTTTGTTTTGATTACTAGATGGTAAGAGATGAAGTGTTCTTTTTTTAACAGGAGTAGGCCACTTTAATTTACATGGCAGATGAAAATGGTACAATTTTTGAATAGAAATTGAGAAGATAAATTGTCCTTAAGCTCCACATTGTGGCTTGAGAATGGTTTATGCTACAAAATGTGAAAGTAACACTTCAGTTTTTTGCATCTTACATTTTTTAAACCATAATTTACTTAAATTAATAAATAAAATTAGCTGTACACAAATTGTTTTATGATATTACATAATAGGGAAGTAAAACAGTGTTGTAAGTAGAACTACACAGCTTCAAAGTTCTCAGCATAAAATTTGCTATGTAATGGTAACATTGTAGAATAACACTTTAGCTAGTGCAGGAAATATATTTGAATTTGATGTCAATTTATCTGACATGCGCATTTAATTTACAACATTTTAAAAAATAAAAAATGACTACTGCAAGAGGTGGTTCTACTTACAAACTGAAAAAAAAAACTCAACAAGTGCAACTTTACAGCATGGACATAGCTTGTGAGATGGCCATTCTGAATCTCTGTTCAGAATTGATGGATTGAAAAAGGATGTTATTTAAAAATGTAGTACTGCTTAAGTAAATAATTTCAACAAACCTAAATACTTAATATGATGGTCTGGTCTAAATCTAATCTCAAACTACAACCATTCTATAAAGTGATAACACTACCGGGTGTGGTTTTGCATATTCCCAAAAACTTGCTGATTCAAGCTTAATGCATTTAATAAACCTTTAGCAAGAAGTAAAAAAAAAAAAAAAAGGAGGAGATCTGGGTTGGCTGACACAATTTTAAATAAAAGTTTTAAATAACCTTGCCAAAAAACAAATAAAAAACAATATACAATATAAATTTTATATACAAATATACAATATATATACATATTAAATATTCAAATTACCGATTGTACTGATTTCACAACAAACGTCACAACAAAATATTTGGCATTTTTAGACAGCTGTTGAGTAATTTCAGAAGTCCATATCTATATCTATAAATAAACATTATTTGCTAATACTTCCATGATGTTATGTCCCAATTCCTTCAACATGCCCAAAATTAAAATCCATAAGCTATGTATTATGGGGTTGATTGGCACAGTTTTAAAACATAAAACAAAAAAGTTAAACAAATTTGGAATAGCCTCGTGGCTTGACTTCTTGCCCAAATGTGTTGGTGAATCTAGATAAACTTGGGATGATCATCTTATCAACAGTGGCAATGGCTTATTCAAATATCTACTCCATAAACATTTAGTGGTTTCACACTATGGTGACCATGGTAAAGGTGAATCAGAGTTTCTATTCAGGAGACAGAGCCTGAGAAATTTATATTGAAAGAACACAGTAAAAAAGGTTAAATTGATAAAAAAGGGGAAAAAAAGTTTAGTTTAACCATAATTAAAAAGACATTCAGTAGTTTGAACACTTAAAAACATTTAAAAATGAACCTTGTGCCAATCAACCCCTTGTGCCAGCCAACCCAGTCTCCAGTACCTTCCCACCCCTAGGGAGCCGCCTTCTCTATTGTGTTGCCTCCCTATAACCACCCCCTCCCCATCCCCAATGGCAGGCGGAATCTTTAGCACAAATCTTTATCACAGCAGTGAAATTAGTATTGCCTGGTGAAAACTATAGTACGTTTGCACAACGTCAACACTTATACATTCCATATCTTTAGTATAAACGTGATCTATTAATGTACCTTTTTCCGTTGTTGGATTTTGTACCTGTTGACTGTATCCATGACTTTCCATTAACGTCACAAATGAAGATGAAGTAAAGATGTCTTCATTAAAGTCTCCCATGATTACTTTCTGTCCTGGATGCTTTTCCACCTCTTCAATAACCTGTAATAGCTGTTGTCGAAACATGTCAGTTTTATATGAATTGGGCCTGTACAAAACCGCAGCAGTCAAATTGACATGTGGAACTGTAAAGTATAACCATTCTAAGTTCCAGTTCTCAGGAGTAAAGATGTCACACTCAATTTTCTCAGAACAATATATTCCAACTCCACCGCCTCTCTGATGTTTTAGATCAGTAAAAACAGAAATACTGTTGTCATAACACTTAGCTCTTGGGTTGTGCTTGAACACAAATTCTGGTATTTGTGGTTCTTCTCCTTTGTCCTCAGCATTTAGCCATGTTTCTGTCAAACAAATACAATCAGCATTCATTAGAGCTTTATGTGCAATAACATCCTGAAAGTGAGCTTTTAGACTTTGTACATTGACCAGCGCTATTCTGAATGTACCAAGTGATTTAGTATAACTGTACTCTTCCAAAGGGAATTTTGGCATATCTTTCAAGGCCAACTCAATTTTGTCATTACAAAATATAGCCGACTCTTTAAAGTCCTCAATTATTAACCCACTGAGAGATCTTACACGGCTCAATGCAACATATGCTTGCCCTGCTGTAAAGATTTTCTTAAGTGATACAACAGCTTTATCTACTGTGAGTCCTTGCACTTTGTGAACTGTACATGCCCATGCTAATCTGAGAGGAAACTGACGTCTTATACCACCATCATTTGTGACTTGGTCTTCTTGTACTTCAATGACTGTTGAGTTTTGGGAGAATCTCTGGTGCGTTTTAGATCTCTGAATTTTACCGACATTTGGATTATCAAACTCCACATGAATAGCTGACGGGAAATCATCATCCTTGTTTTGACTTTCACCGACAAGAACTACGGTCGCAAAAGCTCCATTCACGAGACCGTCTGCAACATCAATATTTTTCTTTAACATAACCCTTGCTCCAATACCCAGAGAAATGCATGCAGACAAAGATGAGTTGAAAATGTTCCTATGAAATCCAACTTTACGTTCCATTCGTCCAGTTTTTGAATTTTTCACATAATCTTGAGCATGTATGCTGATTGCCTCCGGACAACATTCATGTAGCCTTTCAATGTTGTATTTATCAACTTCGGCATTTGTAGCAAATATGTGAAGATCATTACAATTCTCCCCTGTTTCACAGTTTTTCAACATATCAATATCAGGAGTGGTAAGAGGTTCATCTTTCTTGTGTACTCTGAGGCGATTTAACATTTCAGCAAAACTTGGATCTTGTTGTCGAACAATTTTAGTTAATTGAGCAAGTTCAAAGTTATTTTCCCATAGGTTTACTCCTTTGGCATTAGCATAGAGAGCAGTTCCTTTAACAGGCGGAAGCTGATAAAAATCTCCCACTGCAAGAATGTTCACTTTTCCAAAGAGAGAGTAGTCACCAGTTTGTTTTATTTGCCGCAACCTTCCATGAATATATGACAAAAGACGATGGTCAACCATAGACACTTCATCAATAATCAAAATTTGCAAATTACCCAATTTTGTACGTAAAGAATTCATTTTGTCATCACTGAGAGGCTGATATGGCAGTCTGACATTTGCACCAATTAAAAATTTGTTATGTATGGTTGAAGCTCCAATGTTGAAGGAAGCCACTCCGGTTGACGCGGTCAAAAGTACAGTAATATCATCAGGATTCTCAGACAGCTGAGATAACAGTCTGGAAGATTCATACTGTATTGCCTTAATTAGATGACTTTTTCCTGTGCCTGCTCCACCAGTAAGAAATAACCGAAATGGTTCAGGGTTTTCTCCAAGTATTTTCTGTAGACACCACTTTTGCACTTTATAGAACACAGCAGATTGTTCTTCATTTAGTGACCTCAGTAAATGCAGTGCATCTTCTCTTGGCATTGTAGTGTGGTTTGTCTCAATAGTACACACAGTCTGAGGATTTCCTGTCAGATCTGGAATAAGTTCTTGAGTGTCCTCTTCATCAGGTAATTGTTTATCCTTCATCAGTTCTATGCATTCATCGCGCTGTTTTTCTGTTTCAGGACATATCTGGGCCCAAGCATCTTCTAAATCCACATCTTGCTCTAAAAGCTGTTTAGCTTGGTCTATTTTGTCACTTTCCTTTTCAAACAATTCTCTGTTGCCATCAACAATGGATTTCACTTGTTTCACTTCACAACCAGTTTTTATGACACCACTTTTGTAGAATTCCTCATATGTCTTATAGTTACTTGGCTTAAGATCACAGTCATCATAATATGGTAAGAAAAGCTGCAGCAATGAATGATAATATTTTTCTGGATCTTTAGTGGGTGAAAACCTTGGATACCTCAGTACTGCAGGTTCAGTTCGTGTCCTTCGTTTGACATAGCCATTGTTATTATTAAGTTTAATTATTTTATTTTCGGATGTCTTGTTATGTGAGGAAACCTCTGATTTTGTCAGAACTCTGTACTCAGAACAAAAACTGGCAAGACACAGATTTTCTACTGGCTCTTTCTCTGGTCTGTTTTTGTACCTGTCAATGAGACTTGTCATCCAGAAACTGCTTTCATCATCAGACTGGTCAGTTTCCACTGTGTTTCGGAGCATATTCAAAGGCAAACTCATCTTTACAGGATTTTGTCCTATCGGAATAAATTGTACTTTACGAGAGCATTCCTTCAAATGCATGCCTGTCAGTCTGTACACTGCCTCTTGAGCTGAGATTTCTCTGTTGTGCAGATAGACACTTCCCAACTGTTTTAATGATGCTTTAGCATCAACATTTCCATTCATAGCTTCGCTTTGAGTACGCTGAAGCAACAGACCCATTTCTTGTTCTGCTTTTGTGATGTAACTGATTATATAGACCACTACAGAAAAGGCATCTGTGACATACTGAATGTCCATATTCCCCTGCCAAGCACGCAGTAAATCTCTGTTATACTGGTTTACCCAAACATCTTTTGGATTTCTTTTCAAGACAATACTTTTCTTTTTGGTACACCTGTTGTATGCTTTTTCAAAGATAGTTTGATTAATCCCAATAGATGAAAAAAAGGCATCGACTGAATCAAAATTGACATCAGAATTTAAAGCAGTTTTGACTTTCTTTATAATTGCACTTGCTGTGTCATCACCATCTTTCCCTTTCAACTCATCTACATTAATTGGTCTTGTAATAAACGTACGACTGGATGGTGGTCGTGGGAAATTAAATCTACAAACTGTATTTTTCTTCCGACATGTTTTTGAATGTCTTGTACTGTGTTTCTGAACACTGTTAACTGTTTCGTAAAGTACAGTATCATTTTCTGGTGGTGTCTCACATGTGATGTAAGTGTCAATGAACTCAGCAACCGCAGGATCATTGTCTGCATCATTATCATTGAGCTTCGGAGCATCTTCCACCCAGAACAGACAGTGGACATGAGGAGAACCACGCTGTTGAAATTCAACACGATAAAAGTAGTCTTTTATCTTGCCAATAGGCTTTGCTGGTGACATTATGACATTTTTTAGAAAACAATGCCATCTATGATCGAACATTCTTGCTGCAGTGACAGGATTTCTCCTTATGAGTCCACACTTTTCAGACCAGTCAAGCTCATCAACATTTTTTTGTTTCCCCTCTTGCTTAAGAATAGTGTTCATCATTTCAGGCCATCTCATATCTGCAGAACTAAAAGATGCAAAGAATGTTGGTATGCCTAGTTGTCTTATCAGGGCAAACAGATCTTTTTGTGTAGACATCCAATATGGAGGAGTTCCCCTTACTGGTCTTAAGAACTTATAACCTTCATCATAATTTAGTATTCTTTGCAAGGAATCAGAGTTTGTTAGCATATCTTGTGTTACCTTTAAGCAATTTTTTTCACAACCTTTCCTTAGTGCAATTGATACATTAGAAACAATTTGATCAACCTCTGATATATATTGTGCATAAAAAATGAAGTCTGTGCTGTGTGCAAAACGTCCATCTGCATTTAGTAATCTTGCATTTAGGTATCGTGACAATGTGATTTTTTCCTGTCTTTCATCATGAAATGTTGGACCACCAGCAGGATAGAGAACAGGGAAACACTTTGCCTCATTGTCTTTATCAGTTAGCAGCCTGACAGGACTGTTACCTTCACCTGGAGCAACATTTAGTACATCATGAAAATGTTGATCAATTATTTCTGAACCCAAATCAACAGGTTGTAGTGATGTGTCTGATAAAAGACCACTTTGTTCTTTAATATATGTTATATCTTCCTCTGGGTCATCTCCAGCTCCAGCTTTATCGTCTTCATTTTGATCAGTTACATCTTGTTCTTCCATTTCAAAATCATCATCGTTGTCTAATTCATCAGTTGCATTCAAAGAGTTTACCCACTGCTCATTAAACTCCACATCATTATACCACTTATTATGTCTGACCAAATAAGACAGCGCATGTCTGACACGATCAGTGCTGACATATTTATATTCATAATGGCCTTTGTATGTTAGTTTCCGTTTCAGTTTTATTCTTATCATGTGGTCATCACATTCATTACGTGGGAGAATATTTGAGACATCTTTGGTATTAACAGGAACACACACTACAGGACCATGACATCCTTTTTGTTTTCCACGGGGAAGACAAAGCAACTTCATAAAAGGAATATTGCGTGCAATAAGATGCTCTTCCAATGAGTTCAGACCTTTTAGTTCTTCTGGAATGTCCACCAAATGCATGTTGTTGGCAACACTCTCTTCAGGCAATTTTCCACCAAGGATTTTACGATGGCATGTATAGCAAATCCACAATTTACAAGCCGGATTACCTGATAGGCATCTGTTCTCACATTCAGTATTGCATTTATGTAAATACTTTAATGTGATGCATCTTTCTGCCAGATCATTAATTTGTTGACCTCTGATTTTATAGCAATCTTTTCTGCATTCAACAACCTGTTTTCTGAACAATAAACGATGGCAAACACAGCAAACAAATTCTGGACCTGTACTGACTTCTTGATGAAACTGATTAATAGTGAAATCAATGTCTTTCTGTCTCTCCTTCTGTTTTGCAGAAATTTCCAATTGTTTTTGTATTTTGCTTATACGAAAGTTTTCATCATTGTTGTATTTCCTTTTAGAATATTCACAAACAATGGCTTTAAAGGCTGGGTTTCTGTGATACTTAATCTTTGAGTATTCACACACGCTAGCTTTAAATGAGAGGTTTCTGTGATATTTACTCTTTGAATATTGACATAGACTCGCCTTAAATGCAGAGTTTTTGCGATACTTATTTCTTGAATATTCACATACACGTCTTCTAAATGCTTTATTGGTTTTATACTTGATCTGAGAATAGTGGCGAACAAGTTTTTGAAAATGAACATTTGTGGAATACTTAATCTTTGAATTTTGACGTTTTGACTGCCTTACATTAATATTATTTTTATATTTACTTCGAAGATTTTCAAGTTTTTTGTCTTTATAATCACTGTCTTCATGGTACTTCGTTTTAAGATTGTCAATCTTTTTCTTTCTGTAATTACTGTCTTCACAGTATTTTGTCTTAGAGTTCTCAATCCTTTTCTTTCTGAAATCACTGTCTTCACGGTATTTTGTTTTACAGTTCTCAATCTTTTTCTGCCTTAAATCAGCATTGCTGTGGTAAAACTCACGTGCTCTTTTGCATTTAGAGTTCTCAGTTGTGTCATTTAATTTTCTTTTTCGCAAATTGCGATTTATGCTCAGATCATCTACTTCAATTCTACATGACTGTGCACAAACATTTTCTTGATTTCTATGTTTAACACATGTAACAACTTCATAGTGATTTCCATTGCAGTGCTTCAGATAGATTGCATTATCTGTAAATGACTGTTCGGTAGGAACATGCGCATTCCACCTGTCATCGTTAAATGTCATTACATTGATTTTCAAAAGGTCAGCTAAACCAAATAATTCAACATGACTTCCCCAAGTTCCTGAAAAATTCATTTTAGACTTTGTCAAATAATCTTTCATTGATGTAATCTCTACACTTAAATATCTTGCAAATTTAGAACTGTTAGCTTCAAGATGTTTCACAACTGCACGTCTGATTTTCAGGTGTTTCTCTTGATTACCGCAAACTGCATGTGCTATTGATCGAAACAAGCAATTACCATCTCCTTTAATGCTTTTCGTTTGGCACGGTACTCCTAAAGAGCACACATTTGTGTCTTGAACAGCAACACTTTCATTAGTCAGTTTTAATCGCGTACACAAAGCATCCTTATCTGCAGATGTTAAAGGTTTAAAACTGAACTCAGTATTTACTGTAGGTCCAATAATTACATCATCCATAAATATATCATCATGTACTTTCCTCACATGTGGGAGTTTTGACTTAGTCTGTACACGTCTATTTTTCTTACTTGAATCCACATTGGTCTCAAGCGATTTGCAGATAGTTGCTGGTTTCTCTACATGTGTTTGTTTACCAGGGTTTCCAACACACTTACTCTGCTTTGCTGCTCTCGTTTGTGAAACATGTGTGACGCCGCTTTTTTTATCAGACTTGCATAAAGTTGTCTCAGTAGTCAAAGGTTTGAAACTGAACTCTCCATATACTGCAGGTCCACTAATGACATCTTCCATTAACAAATGATCATGTGACTTGCTTACATGCACAACTTTTGACTTGGTTAGCACACGTGCATCTTTCTTACTTGAATCTAGACATGTCTTCATTGATTTGTCTGCACTTGTTTGTTGACTACGGTTACCGACACACTTACTCTGCTGTACTGTACTCGTAGCTGAAGCTTGTGAGACACTGCCTTGTTGACCAGAGTTACATAAACTTGTCTCAGTTGTTGCTGTCACACCCGTAACTTCAAATGGTTTTCCCTGACCTTTCAGTGACACGGCAAGGTTAACAACATGATTAAACAACATGTAAATGTCATCACAATAAACTACAACACTTGTGCCTGTATTGGATACCATACCTTTACCATCACGAGAATGTGAATCAACTAGGGCAAACATGGAACCAACCTTAATAACTGCACAAATGTAGCCATAAATGTTCAACAGACATGCATCAGACTGAAACAGGGCCCTCTGAAGTGCGTCTTCTATAGACATGCTCACATCTCGCAATGTTTCCTCATAAACATCAACACCAAAAAACCCACTCAGAGAATCTGACATCTTTATTGAAAATTTTGTGTTGAAGAGTGTGTGCACAGTTGGCAATTCTGGAACAGCAACATAACCACGTCTATCATTGATCTTCCCCTGCCGTCTCATAGAGGTGTACAGCTCATCTCCATGCAACAGAACTGTATCCAGGTCCTCTGTTGTCCAGGTCAGCATATCCTTCAGCTTACTCATCAAGACTGCTGTGAGGCTGTTTGCTGCACACTGTCTGCCACTGTTGAAACCAAAACTGGAATCACCTTGATGAAAGGAACCCTGTATGATTCTCTGTGGAAAATTATCAGAGTTAATGACATCTAAAGATGAACACATTGGAACGTTTTTGGAAGACATTGGAAGGTTTTTGGAAGTCATTGGAAGGTTGGCAAATGCCGGGAAGTTTTTGGAAGTCATTGGAAGGTTGGCAATTGCCGGAATATTTGGTAAAATTGGGAAATCCATGCTCTCGATAGTAGAGCCGAAGGACACTGCCTTTTTTTCAAGAGGAGGCATAACCTCAGCAGAATCCATGGAAAAACTGAGCAGTAGGCGTTCAGCATTCCTCCTCTTGGCCGCCCGGGATCGACGAAAGCCCTTTCCACGTGGCATCTGCAATTACATAACAAACATAGACAAACAAGTTTAGTAAGTACTTACTGAATTTTATAAACTAGCCTAAAACGTCTAATAAGTAACATTTATCATTAGGTCATAAGCTTATAAATCAGCATTTGTTCTTAATTTCTACCTCCCTTTTTGTAAAAAATGTTCTCCTGAACATATTACAAATGTGTTTACAAACACAAAAATACACTGATACCAAAATATTTTCACGTAGATCAGCAATACTTTACAACAACTTATTTTCTGATGAGTTCTGAAAATATTCCAAAAAGTTCACAGAACAAAAGTTCACAGAACATTGCTAGTCAATTAGTCACCAATAAAAATTAATTTTAAGGATTATCAGTATTTGATTAAAATAGAACTAGATATAACCATAAATTGACCACAGGATGCAAGTATGTCACAAAGTTTTTTTTAGTGCAGTTGCATTATTGCAGTGTGAACCCAAACCAAAAGTTTGTGTTTACATAATACATGTGGGGGCACTGTGTATAATTATTTTCTATATATAAATACACACACATGCTTGTATATATATTAAGAAATATTTTCATGTATATACTGTTTATAAATTTATATATAATTTATATTATATATAAATATAAATATTTTATATATAAAAAATTTTTTTTTTCTAAATATACATGCATGTATATGTATTTATATTAGGGATGGGCATTTTTTAAAAAAATACTGCATTCGAATATTCGGGTTCATAAAAATCAAATATTCGAATATTGTTTATTTAAATGACATTTAACGAAAAAGACGTTATTTTAAATTTATTTATTTTTTTACGTTTTTGTCACCATTTCTGAACAAGCTTACAATTAGGCAATATACACAACAAGCTTACAATATATGTTAAAGTTTTCTTTTAGCTGAAAAGATAACAGAAGGCTGTACTGACAGATGCTTCAGAGACAAAAAGATAACAGCGTTTCTAACAGCACTTTATGTTTTCTGTTCTTAAACCGTATTCCCTCAACAAAACTTAAAGGAAGTATATGTATCAAAATCATTTTGCTATTAGATAAGTTATCATATCTGATCACATGGGGTCCAGCTGAGTTAATCTGCAGTCGTGATGCAGTGATGGACAGCTGTCTTTCCTCATTCAACTGTTTGGATTTCATGTGATTTCTCATTGTGGTGAAAATATTATAACTCAGATTAATTAATTAATTAATTTGATCAAAAGTAATTCCATTTATTAAGATCATTTTCAAGTAATTCCAAAGTTCGCGAGGCAGACGACAACATTGTGATCAAATACAGACTTGTTAACACACTCCACAGCGCCATCCAGTGCATTTAATTATAACTCCAAGTCAGAGCTTAGGATTTATCATGGACAGCAAAGCAACGTAGTAAAATTTGAATAGTATTTTATTTTTCAAATAATAATTACAGATCGAAAATTCGAGTATTTCTGCATACCCCTAATTTATATTACAAAATAATTATACACAATGCACCCACATGTATTATGTAAACACAACTTTCATTCTAAATACGATTAATCGTTTGACAGTCCTATTTAAAACGTGAACTTTGAATCTTTTTCAGGTGTGAAAGTGCCCCAAATTACCAAAACCAATTAATATACTTTCAATTAATTTTTAAACTGTAAAATAATGCATTTAACTTACACAATGCCTTGTATTACATACATTTTTATTTTTTATTTATCACATAACTTTAATAAGCAATTATAGACATCAATGATAATAATAATAATACAACTATATTATTTATTGTCAGTATTTGTTTTATTAAAATAGAAAAATCACAATTTCAACTGAAAATTTTTACACAAAAAATAACTCTTCTATTAAACTGACTAGTTACACCTTCTTTCTACAATAAATGTATTGACCTTATTCAGATTTTATTGATCAATTTATTTAAGCTCTACATATTTTTATATAAGTATTTTTTTCCCCACTATGCAATGTAATAGGTTATTCAAAATATTTTATATTGTGTTGAGCACAAAAAAAGAAATAAGTACAATTTTGGAACAACTTTAGAGTCAGTAAACAATCACAGAATTATCTCTTTTGGGTGAACTACCCCTTTAAGGACAAACTGGAACACTACACCATTTTATGACATAGGGCTTATTCAACGTCTCCTCTACATTATGATAAATGTTTAAAAGCATTTTTTTATTAGTGCATGCGTTGTCTTAGTTTGGCAGTGCCGACATTAGCTTGGAGTGTTCCTTTAAGACCTGTACGCAATGCATCCAATTTTTTCTCAAATGTTTGATTAGGGGAAAGCAGGACACAACTTAACACTTTTTGACTTTGTCAATTTCAGTAAAACTACTTAGGGTTTAGAGATCCCCCCCCCCCCCCACACACATTAATTTACCACACAATTATGTCTAATTTTGTTATATTAATACAGTGTATACTTTTTTTCTTGATTTACCCTGAAAAAATGGAAGTAAAATGTGACAACATGCCCCATAGGTGGGATACATTGTAACATGTGACAAGCACATTGTAACATCACCATATAACAGCTTAAATTGCTATCTGATCTAATAAAAAAAAGAAAAAAAAATGACAAAACCAAAATATTTTCTTCATAAAATACAATTATTAACTTTTTCATATAAAATAATGGCATTTTTTAATAATTAAAAATATACTAATTTTGAGCTTGACAACAAACACACTGGAAAACAGCTATACAGCATGGTTCAAAGCAAAGTAATACTTAATAATTTCTGAACATTGACTCTCAGTCTTTATTTACATGTTTCTCTTGTGTTCTTAACCCTTCGGGGTCGCCAATCACGCCGGCGTGATCAAATTACATGTTTTGTTTAAGACGTCGAAGCATAAAAACAAAGTCACGTTGAGTGCAGCCGTCCACTTCTGTCGAAAGTGCTGACTTGAAACTCTATTTTACTTTTTGTTTTGTGTTGATAGACCAAGTAAAAACGGAGATATGATCATTTAAACTTTATATAAAAAAATGTACGCATTAGTAAAAGAATGCAAGATGGGATGTGACAGATGTTACATTTATTCTAATAACTTTGTCAGTTTTTGTCATAAAACAAAACGGAGAAAAAATGTGTGAATCTGCTGATTCTGCTCTTCAGGCTGCACATTTTACGTAATGAAGGAGGAGCCTACTGAGCCAAAGACGCGAATGTGAAATGCAGGAGATTTACGGAGTAGACAAAGAGAGAAACATAGACGTTATATATATTGAGAGAGAAATTATTGCTAGTTTGAGTAGATTTTGAGAGTAATTTAGGAGTGGTGTAGATAGTTTAGGAGTAGTTTAGGTAGTTTAGGAGTAGTGTAGATAGTTTAAGAGTAGTTTGGGTAGTTTAGGAGTAGATGAGATTAACTGTTTTGAGGATTGGCACAGATATAAAAAACAACCACAAATAAACACACCTGATATTTGTCGTAAATAGTTGAGTGTATGGTTTAATTTTGTGTTAATTTTACCTTTTGTGTGGTATATTTGTACTATTGAGGAACCCCTCTTACTCAAGGAATGAAAGCCCTGTAATGTAGCTAGCTGTGTAATTGAACATGAAATGTTTTGTACTTTCTAAGCAAAAAAGAAAAGAAAAAACGCCTATTGCCACACTTGCATTTTGCTGTATAGTTTCATTTTATCCCAATTTGACCTTTTTTATGTTGTATGTTGTAATGTGCACTATTTGAGAACCCTCATTTATTTGAGAACCCTCTTTTTTTTTTTTAAAGTGGCAAAGCTAAAATGAATAAAAAAAGCCCATGGCTACACTCGCTTTTTTGTAAATCATATTTTTTTTTGTATAGCTTGATTATATCTGAATTTTACCTGTATATTTTGACATTTACAACTTGGGTTTACATATTAAACCTTTTAAAATGCTTCATTGGGCATGTTTGTATTTTTTGTAGTAGAAAAGCTATAATATTTCTATTCGGATTTTGTGTTTTTTGTGTGATTTTGGGTCCAGTATGTTGATACAGTACATCAAAGTGATAAACTAATTATCTGGTCATATAGGTGATGTTGTGATGAAAAAAATGATACCAAACATTGGTATGGTAAATGTTTGTTTATGTCGCAAAATTAAAAAAATATAAAAGTACTCAAAAAGGGCCAATATAATAGCATATTTCTACAGGGGCACATTGTAACGCATTGTTACAACATGCCCCTCTTGCACAACTGGGGTTTAAAACCCTACTAGTGTCTTCTGCTAATTAACGTAACATTACCAACAACCATTACCACAAACTATATCAACTGTTAAACAACACATCAGGATAATAATAATAATAATAATAATAATAACAGATTTGTCTAATTTTAAATAAACACAAAAATAGAGATGAACATTTTATTAACAACGCCCCCATTATTAAATTTACCCACGAACACACGCTTGTGTCCATCTTATGCCTGATTTGTCACTCGGCCAGTTCAACCTCGTATAAATCAGGTTATGTGTGTCTCCCGCTCACAAACGCTCACTCTTAACAGACACACGAACAGACACACTCTGTCCCCAGTGCTGCTCGCGCGTCACAGAATGTTCATAAAGCGCTCCCCATTCACAGTAACGGGTTGTCTCATTCAAATCAGCCAGCTGTTGCTATCAGCAAGCCGCTGCACATTGAATTGAATACTCATATGAGTCAGGCTGCGAATGTAAGTTACATGCACGCCCCAGCGCGCTCACACTAATAAATGCCTCACCTCCGGCGCCGCGCACTCGCTACATTCCCAGCACATCTAGTGGATGTATAACGCAACAAGTCAGTATCTTATGCGCCTCATAATCCAGTGCGCCCTATGAAAAATGATCTAAAATAGGTCATTCATTGAAGGTGCGCCTTAAAGTGCAGAAAATACAATAAATAACATAGAAGTCAATACGTTTTGTTTTGGATCACGAATAGTAAAGTTCTTTTGCAAAACAGATTGACCACTGAATGTATTTCAATAAATGCACTTAATATTTTTGTTTACTGTTTTATTGCTGCTAATGTGCCTGACCCTGGTTTACAGGAAAAAAAATGTTTACTTGATTTTGTTTTTTTCTTGTAAAACAAATGTGCCTGTCCTTTATAAAAATGATAAAGTTTCTCTATTTATATATTTATGTCTATACTGACCAAGCACTGTGCCAAATTGGTTTTAGACAGGGCATTTTTATTTACTTTTAGTATGAATCGGCCTATCAGCAGCAAAGTTCAATAAAATATGCATTTTTTATTGAAGTACCCCCTTCTTTCTTGTGTTTAATATAATTTTCCACAGAATTAAAGCAATCTTATGCTAAATTTTAGAAAAATGTAATAATTATCCGATTAGTCGAATAATCGTTTCAATAGTCGGTGACTATTCGACTATTAAAATAGTTGTTAGTTGCAGCCCTAGTAAATACACCAAGTTTCAGCATTTAAAACTGTGTTTACAACTAGCACCACGTTGCCTTGTGCCCCACACTCCCCTACACTTTAGTCCAAACCCAACTGTGGTAAATCTTTTGTTGACAATATTAGCAAAATAACACTCAAAGATATTTGCTTCATTAACCAGATCCTGTTTGACAGGACTGCAGTGCATGTGAGCTTCGGGTTTATGTGTTAAAAAAAAAACGCCTATTTGAACAGTGCATTCTCAAGCGTATAACATGTTTAAGCATTAAAATGTGAACAATGAATTTAAGTTAATTTTAGTGTCTCATGACTGAAACTATACCTCTGCTTTAACATTTGATATAAATATACGTCACATTGTACAACATGTTGAGATAAAGACGCAAACTTAACTGATAAAGTGTTTGCTATAGCACAATATTACAATATTTTCAAAAGTTGATTGTGCAGACATTTTACTGTTCCACAATAAAAAAAAAAATCTTGTAATTGAACCAACATTAAAACATTTTATTGCCGTGCATAATCATAATGGCAAAATGTCTATTAAGCCTACCACACGCAATACAATACAAATATAAGTTAAACATGTATTACATACAGCTAGATGAATTATTACACAATCCATTCCAGTAGCTACACACATTCACCTTTCAGTACCTGTACACACTACACACAAACTTAATTACCACTACAACTCTGCAGCTAACATGCAATTTATGTCGCAATCGACATGAATGCATTCTAATTGACGAATCTGAATGTAATTTAGATAAACGCAGAGCGTATGTGATCAAACAGCATAACACGACAAATGACAACTGCAATATTTTTACCTCACAGAAAAATATGCACTTCAGTCTGTCATATTTCTTGTTTTATTTATATAAATCCTAATCTCAAAATGTTGCAAGTTTGGTGATTTCCAAACTTATTTTAGCACAGGATTCCAACATTTGATCATAATTTCGATAAATCATAAAATATTTTTCACAAAACGTATCATATACATTCATAACAACAACTAATATATATATATATATATATATATATATATATATATATATATATATATATTATAAGTTACTTAAATAAAATACTTTACAACGATCGACGCCACGGTGAACAGGCCTCACTGAATTATTTAACACAATCTATCGCGGATTTTTCACAAATACACAAACCATATCAAGTAACATAAAAATACTTGAACTATATTAAAAATATTATGGATGAGCAGTATTTAATTACAAATTAATACGATTATAAAGTGAAAGCAAAAAAAAGCACATTTTACCTTCTTCTTCTTCTTCTTCTTCTTCTTCTTGGGTTTAATGGCGGTTGGCAAACCATTTAACGGTGCATTACCGCCACCAACTGGACTGCATTGTGAAACGAAAGATTAAGCAGAAAAAAAAGAAAAGAAAAAAAGCATTATATATATATATATATATATATATATATATATATATATATATATATATTCTGAATTAATTAAAAGAATCTAATAGGTATTATATATATATATATATATATATATATATATATATATATATATATATATAATACCTATTAGATTATTTTAATTAATTCAGTTTCTTTAAGAAACCTAATTATATAACAATATATCTGTCCTGCTGTTTTCCCCAAGAGACCTGACAATGACACCTCATGATATTTTGCGTTCCGTAGTGACTAAAAGAGGTGCTTCCTTTTAATATTGTATTTTCTACACTAAAAAAGAACATGTTCCACTGTTTCTGGTTCATTACAATAAGTACATTTCCCAGTTGGGTGCTTATCTATTTTATACAATAAAAAGTTTAGACCTGTATGACGATTCACCTTCTCAGACAAGTTATTAAACTCTTTTCCAACCTTTTCCAGCCCACCATCCACCCAGCATCAACCTGTCTCTGTATAGCACATTTTACCGTTTCAGAGATGAGCATAAAAAGGCTTCCTGTCTACCAGAAAGGAAATATGTTATCTGACAACACTCTCATCTCCCCTAGTGGTTGGGAATTTATAAATATTTACCTTGCCTTTTACATTCAGCATTACTATTATATAACATTATCATAACTCATAATTTATTAAGGACACTAGATTTACACTATTTTTGCAACAACAAATGTATACATATTGTCAATTTTACTACTCTAAATTAACAAAAAATACAGGCTATACTTTTTAAAGTAAAAATCATTTCTACATAACACACAAGATGCATTTTTTCTCAAACATTTCTAACAATTTTTATTTTTCAATTGAAAGCCAATTAAAACGTAGCTCATTGCATTTAGTCGTTTAGCAGACACTGCTATTAATTGCAATCAAAATATTGTATAGATTAAAGCTGTTTTACATACTACAAAATAAATACTGCATTAAAACATATGCCTACTTTTTGATTTTGAAAAAATGTAACAAGCTGAAAATGTTTACCTCTAAATTGTTGAAATATATAATATAATGCAATTACCATATTAAGTTAATATGGCATTACCTTGTGTTTCTCCCTATTTAAAAAATTTCAAATGTTACATCTGTATTATTGTCTAAAAAATATTGTGGATAATAATTACAACTAAAATGGTTTAATTAATCAGTTAATATATTTGATACAATCTTGGTTGCCATATTGTCATCATTACACAATTTATTTTTTCATTTTCTTTTAACAATGAACTAAAAACTACAATACAAAACATTGTGTAAAAAGGTGTTATAATAGGAAAAAAAACTTTTTTTTAAATTTAAATATACATAATGTAGATTTTTTTAATTATTAAAAGGTAAAACAAAAAAAAGTCATGCACATTATTGTACTCAATTTATAAACAAGACAATCAATTGTTTTCGAAAGTTTTCAAACATAAATCCTACATATAAGCAACAATTAATCAAATTTTAATATCTACGTTTTTAAAGACTTTTTAAAATAACCCACTTAAACAATTTTTAGGTTCTACAGAAACACTTCAGCCACGTTAACCTGCCATTTTATTTTCCACTATTGTTGTAAATATGTTCATGTGAATTGCACAAACACAACCAGGAAACGCCAAAACACAATATAAAATTAAAAACTACACTTACTTTTAGCAAAAAAAAACTTTATTAAACAATCCTCAATATAAACACATTTTTTTGCTCATGAAAACAAAACGAACCTTGCAAACCTACTTTTAATATGCATCACTTCACATTCACCTCTACTTAAAACAATTTCACCCAAATATACAATTTTTATCATTAATTACTCACCATCATGTTTTTCCACACCTTAAAGACATTTCTTCATCTTTGTAAAACAAATTAAGATATTTACCATAAAACAATGAAAAAGATATTTTCAAATATCATCTAAACCCAAACATTACAGTTACATAATTTTACCTCTTGAAATCCAGAAAGGACGGAAAAGTTTGAAGCTTTGATGTAAACAAGAAAAACTGCACAAAATTCACGATAAACTATAATGACAAAGAATCAAATTATTAAAGTCTATTTTTTATACACAAAAATCGCCATAATATTAAAGTTATAGTAAGGTTGACTACTTAAAGCATGATTTGGCAACCTTTCTGAATTTCAAACAATACAATGATGTTGCTATCTATATGTATCTTACATGCCTTTGGATTTCATGAAAGATAACCTTAAATTGTTTTACAAAGATGAACAAAGGTCTTACAGGTGTAAAACAACATGAGTATAAGTAATGATGATAATTCAATTTTTGGGTGAAATAACCTTTCAAAACTTTAACATGCGTCAATTTTTTACTGCTTTCTTACATTCAAAATGTATAAAAACACAAAAAATACACAAATAACAATAACATATGGACATTATAAATAAGTAAAAACTTGTCCAAAATGTGAACAAACAGTTTCCGCAATAATTAAACATGAAAAATGCTTACATTTACATCTCTTTTACGTGATGTAACACTATAAAATGATACAAAATTTCACTTTACTTTATGCAAAAGAAAGAGAGAAAAAATTAGTTCAAAGTATTGAACATCTTTACTTTTTGTGGCCTCTCTTAAAACCTTTTCCACTTGATTTAACAGTGGCTTTACATGTGATCATGTATTGTAACACTACAATATAAAACAAAAATTCACTTTATTTTGTGCAAAAGAGAGAAAAAATTTGTTCAAAGTATTGAACTGAACATCTTTACTTTTTGTGGCCTCTCTTAAAACCTTTTCCACTTGATTTAACAGTGGCTTTACATGTGATCATGTATTGTAACACTATAATGTAAAACAAAAATTCACTTTATTTTGTGCAAAAGAAAGAGAGAAAAAATTAGTTCAAACTATTGAACTGAACACCTTTACTTTTTGTGGCCTCTCTTAAAACCTTTTCCACTTGATTTAACAGTGGCTTTACATGTGATCATGTATTGTAACACTATAATATAAAACAAAAATTCACTTTATTTTGTGCAAAAGAAAAAGAGAAAAAACTAGTTCAAAGTATTGAACTGAACTTCTTTACTTTTTGTGGCATTTCTTAGAACCTTTTCCACTTGATTTAACAGTGGCTTTACATGCACCTTCAAAACAAACTCCAGCCTTGCTGTTGTCAAACAGGTCCTTTTCCTGCAAAGCCAGACCCTAAAATAAATCACAAGTTCAACGTCTAAACTGTTAACATGTTATTTCCACTATACAAATGTTCATTATTAAACAAAAGGCTTTTATACAGTTACAGTGCAAGTACAATACAATGTGTTGAAAATAAGCACATGAGCACTACATTTATGTCTAAATGTCTAAAAATTTGACATTTACCCCTTTTCCACCAAAAAAGAACTGATTCGGAACTGGTGCTGGTTCAAAGTTGGTTCCAAGTTGGTTAAACTTGCAAACCCGTTCAGAACCTGTTTGTTTTTCCACTGACTATAGCGCCCAGGGAATGACGTCATTACGTCACTGTACATCACCATACATCTTAGATAGAAACACTTGCAAGTACAACATTACTTTAAAAGCAATTGAAATATGTAAGTCTTTTAATCTTTTCGTTTGATATGTAATCTTTTCTGATTAGTTTTGTACCCCTGTCCTGTCCTTTTTCTTTCCATATATTTGTATATTGTGACTATTTTCTTCTTTGCTTATAATGTTTTCAATAAAAAAAAAAAAAATACGAATGCTTGCGGCAACTTCAAGCAAAACAATTACAAAGGCGGACTCCATCGTATTTCTGCAAATGTTTCTCTTGGCTTTGCGATCCTATATTATGGTCAGAAAAGATGTTTATAACACATCTAAACCCACCCCAGCAACCAACGTAAGCATGATAGGGTAAAAGAACAGTTCTAGTCCAGCAACGAGTTGGTGCCACTTTGGAACCAGTTTTCCCGGCCGAGAAACGGTTCTTTGGCTGTTAAAACACAAAGAACTGGTTCGTGCGCAGGCACCCGCTCCGAACCGGCTTTCAAAATGCTTTGGTGGAAAGGGGGCTAGTGAGGATCCTTGTGTGAAATTTGCTAAGACTGCATTAAGATGTACAAAAAAAACATTGTGTTTATTCTATTTGACATCAGCAACTGTTTAAGCATCTGTTTAAGCATCACATTTTCAGACAATACTTCTGTAAATTGTTCTGTTTGCAGTACTTACCACATCTTTCCCGTCAGTTTCAAAACACTGTTTTGCAGACTCAGAAACACCTTCTTTACCCTTCTCCATCAAACCCTGGCTCTATGAACATTCAGAAATTTCATGCGTAAACACATGTTAAACATTGCAGTCACACGATACTTCTGTAACTTATTCTATGTTTACACTACTTACAACATCTTTCTTGTGAGTTTCAAAACACTGTTTTGCAGACTCAGAAACACCTTCTTTACCCTTCTCCATCAAACCATGGCTCTGTGAACATTCAGAAATTTCATTAGTAAACACATGTTCAACATTGCAGTCACACAATACTTCTGTAACTTATTCTATGTTTACACTACTTACGCCATCTTTCTTGCGAGTTTCAAAACACTGTTTTGCAGACTCAGAAACACCTTCTTTACCATTCTCCATCAAACCCTGGCTCTATGAACATTCAGAAATTTCATGCGTAAACATGTTAAACATTGCAGTCACACAATACTTCTGTAACTTATTCTGTTTACACTACTTACAGCATCTTTCTTGCGAGTTTCAAAACACTGTTTTGCAGTCTCAGAAACACCTTCTTTACCCTTCTCCATCAAACCCTGGCTCTATGAACATTCAGAAGTTTCATGTGTAAACAAGTGTTAAACATTAAATTTTACAGACAGTAATTTTGCAAATTGTTATATGCTTTCACTACTTACAACAACTTCTGAACATTCAGCTGTTTCTTCCATAAACATTTCTTCCAGCATGAAATCTTCAGACAGTCCTTCAGATTCTTGCATTCTTGATGTAACCGCAACGTCTCTGCTTTGTGATTCAGAAGACTGATTTGCTGCCTTGGAGATGAATGATGCAGAGACAACACGTTTTCCTCTGTATTTTATGTGCAAATTGACCTCATCATCATTTAGCAACTTCGCTGCCAAGTCATCTGGTTCCACCTGACTGTGTGTTGGAACATCCAACAACTCACGAAGCACAACATTATCCATTTCAAAAGTGTTCATTTGATCACACTTGTCCTGTATAGTAACAGTTGCACGAAGTACTGACGTTACTTTGGATGTTTTGCAGTATGCGGCACATTTTGGACACCTCGTCATCAGGGTCTGGAAATTGACTGCAGGCAAAGGATGCAACCTTGGACACTGATACTCAGCTTGAACTTCTGCCGTCACAACCTCTCCATCTTGGACCTTAAATTGGTCAACTACTTGTGCAACATCACTTGATACATCAGGCACAACTGTCACAACAGACTGCTTCGTGGTTGATAAACAAGTGCAACCATCAAATTGACGAATTGACACATTCTTTATTTTGTACCACTTCCCGGGCACAAGGGTATCTCCTCCCCAGACAGTCAACAATAAAGCACTGCTTTGATCTGCCACATCATACGATCGTCTTAGCAATCTTTGATTGCTACGAGTCATTGACTGGGTCTCCTCAGTCAACTGGACTACTTTAATTGTAACGTTCACCTAGAACAACAAAAATATAAAAAATGATTACACTAACAAACAGTCTCTTTTCTTGGCAACAAAAACATTAATAACTCATTTCCACTAAGCGGTACAATTTGGAATGGTACAGTACAGTACGTGTCAAATTGATAAACCATTATCTAACTTCCATTTCCACCACCAACAGTACCCTAATATAATATGTAGCAAAAAAACACCCAATTTGGCAACACCAACCACCACCGTGGCAACTGTAGACAAATCAGAACAATGAGGCATCGTATGATCATTTAAACAAATTTTATGACAAGGTGGATGACAATAGAAAAAAATCTTACATTTCTGTGAAAACTTGGCCTATCGATAAAATAATTGTTGTCTGTGGTTGTATATGGGCTGTGGCAATAATAATAATAATACAAAAAGCTCGCAACATATGGAAAAAAATAACTATAAATGAACTAGTTTATTTTTTGAAGTATGACCAATGAACTGAACTAGTTCATTTCATAATGTGTGAACTGAAGTTTGAACTACTTCATGTAGAAACTTTACATTCCCAACACTGACGAGCCCCAAGCATCAAATGATTGCTTAGAATGGATCTCAGTTAAATTATCATAAATCTATAAATAAACCACAGATTTGAAATTCTCGCCTGAAAACACTTAAAACTACATTTTATGACACAATAACAGTAGTATTATATTTTAACTGTATATTAAAAAATAATGCTTCTAATGCCCTTATAACACTCGCAATGAACGATACTCTGTCAACTAGGGATGGGCATTCGATTAAATTTTCTTAGTTGATCATCAGAAGAATTAACTATCGACTATCGATTGATCATTAATATTTTTATATTCAAATTTATTATTTATTTAACTTTTTATAAATATAAAATGCAATGAAAACACAAAAATACAGTGTGTTTTTCCTCGATTACATCTTTTTTACAAGATAATAAACTTGTGGCAGTTAACTATCAGTTAAACCTGTCTGAATTAAACTGGGCGTTCAATTAGGCTAAATTTGAAGATATGCGCGACGGTTCTCTAACGCAACTGAACCTGCAGCTGCAAGTTGGCCCTCATGAGACACTCGTTTGTTCCAAAATAATAAATAAATAACTTAAACCAAAAACATAATAATATTTATATCGGTTGTCAAAATGTCACGTTAACTCAACTATCCAAGGCACAAAGTTGAATAGGGTGAGAGAGATTATCCTACCTAACAATAAATTAGGCTAGGCTACTTAAAGCCTCATAAAAAATAACTCACATACAACTTCTGCTCCACTCTACTGATTTTGTTGAGAAAGATAAGCATGTTGATGACATGATCTGGGGTCAGTCGCGACCGCAACCTGCATGTTGACCGTCAAGCCTTATGTTTACACTTTCACCTGGCTCGATCAGCGCGAGTCTCTGAACACTGCGCGTGCCACTCACCTCCCTAAACGGACGAGGTGTTTATACTTCACGCACTCGCCTGATTGTGAAACACCGAATACCGCAAAGACATAATTTTTCCTGCGTGCACCTTCTTCACACTCGTGTGGACGCACCGAGTGTAAACAAATGCTTCAGTCCAGCCGCTGAAAATACTGCTCTGATGAGGGGGACTGACGTTACCGGGATGCACAGGTACCTCCGCACTAACATGACCAGCCCGGAGAACACGTTCACTTTCCACTCACACTACGCAACGCAGCAGCATTAGTTTAATGATAATCAATAACAAATTAACGTGATGAACAAAATTCTTAATGATCAATAATCGATCATCTATTAATCACGCCCATCCCTACTGTCAACCAAACAAAGTTCTACAGTTCTAGTACATCTAGCTCCACATTTTAGTACCTCACCACTGTGCTACATACCCCAACAGAAGGATACCAAAAAGTGGTACAGTACAGTTCGGCAGTTCGGTACCATTCATAACTTTTGACAGTGCAAACACAAATAATTGCATACCAAACTGTACCATTGCGTACCACTCAGTGGAAACAAGCCATAAGTTACACCACACACCAAAAAGTCAAACAAAACAATGGGTCTATACTACATCTCAGGTACTACAGGTAAACGTTTTCCAAGTTACATACACACACAACAAACGTATTAATCAAACACTACTGTAAAAACCCACATGAAATTTGATATGTAGCATTCATGTGTACATTACACTAACATCAACCTACCCTTTGATATTCTCTAGGATTTTCAAGTATTTGTTGACATGTCCAGTCTTCAACAACATCACCTGTAGAATTATCAAAGGCAAACTCCAGCCTGCGCACACAAGTCAACAAAGATGAGTTGTTCACAATGATGTCAACCTCTCCTTTTTTTTGTCGTGATGGAGACAATGCCACCTCACACAGCCTTACTGGACTCCTACAAAAATAAGAAACACTGTCATTAATATAATCCTAAATAGACAAATATTAGAGATGCACCAATTGATCACCTGGTGATCAAAATCGGCCAATTTTCACATGATCGGCCATGATCGGCAACCGGCCAATCAGTCTGACATATGACGATTTTATGCCCGTCAAATGTACTCAAGTGCCGCTTAATTAACGTCGCGCATCAGTATCACACGTGCAGAGACTGCACACGGAACGCACATGTAGTAAATCTCTAACATTAAAACCATTTCACACCACAAGCACATATTTTATTTTTCTTTGGCGTGCATGTTAACCAGTCAGTGCATTGACACCATGAGCAGGAGTGGTGCGTGAGCAGCACTGAAGCGCTACTTTCAACACCCAGTCTATTTTTGCTGCGCTCAATTAAAGTGAAAGCACACTTTTGATGGACAAAATAAATATGATTTCATCCAAAAATGTGCATGTGTAATTTGATTTAACAAGAACTGAAGTAGGCTAGGCTATGACAAAAAGAAAATGAAGATTAAACATTTTTATAGAAAATGTACTCATTTAAACCTGTTTTTATTATTTTCCAATAGTTTCCCTGCACATGCTCCACTTATCCTGTTTAGCCTGGCTGCAGAGGTGTCAGATGACAGAAGAACTATTTGAGAAATAACTTGCCATTGATGCAGAAGTAATTACAATAGGCTGGTGTGTGAGAAATATCTATATACTGCAAGGCTAAGTTAATTTTAAATAAAATGCTTTTATACTTTACTTTAAATGCTAAATATATATATAAAAAAAATTGTTGGATATTGGATGTGAAAATAACACTGCACTTAGATGGGTGAATTTCCCACAGTAATTTATATAGTTCTTTTTTTATAGTAATTACCTGTTCAAAATGTTCTATGTAAACTATTCTATTAAAGAGAAGATAGAAAACACATTTGTGTATGCTGTAAAGCAATTTGAAAAAATTAATCTAAAATTGGTATAAATAGGTCAACCTCAAGGAAAAATCGTGATCAACCTAGAAAACAGTAATCAGTGCATCTCTAACAAATATACAACTAATAATTACTCACATTCTACTTTAACATATCACACTATTTACAATTACCTGTCTTTCTGGGCATTTACAAAAACATGATGCCTCTGTACATCAAAAACAACTACCCGGCTGTTTCTTCCTGCCTCCTGCAAAACGGCAGTAAAATATTTACGGCGATTTGCCCCCTCTGTAATATCTGAAACGTCATGAAGATATCCTTCAACTTCATGTTTTGTTCGTTTGTTCTCCATTTTGAATTTCTGGGGGGGCGAGACAAAAAAACAACAGCAACAACTTGAACATGTATGTGACAATGTGGACATTTTTCTACCAATTAAACAACATATGACAACAATTATTATTTTTATAGACAAATGAAAAAAGGCATAACTTTATACATATCACTTTTCGCACAAAGTTTGCTTCACTTTTGTCCAATTCAGTGCCCCATAGATCTACTTCACTCCCCACTCAACAAACCTTTTTTTTTTAACTTGTACTCAAACATCTCTACTTTTTATTGACTGGCGTAAAAATAGCCCAACTCAACAACTCAAAGAAATTAATTGCAAACTATTTTGATAATCAATTTTCATCAATTTCTTGGAGCAGCCAAAAAATACACGCCCATAAGATGACTTGAAGTGATAGTTCACTTTGAAATTAATTTGTGATAAGTTTTAGCTTACCTCAAGGCATCCAAGATGTAGGTGTCTTTGTTTCCACAGTATTTTAAATTTTGATATTTTTAGGTCAAATCATTTGTGTCCGTTAGTCATATAATGGAGGTCTATGGGGTTCCCCTCAAGGCATGCACAACGAAGTCCAAATTAAACATGATTTAATGACTTGTAAATGTTAGTACACATTGATGGCCTAAGACACAAAACCAGCAATTTATGTGAAAAAACGAACAATATTTATAGATTTTACCTCTTGTAATCAGTCACATCCAAGTGATCTGAGGGTGCAAGCACTTTGTGCCTGTGGTTACATGAGGTAAAAACAATATAAATACTGTTCGTTTTTTAATACAAACCGCTCGTTTTTATCTTAGCCCATCAATGTGTACTTACAAGTTATCCAAGCTGTAGGCTATCATCTGGGTTTCCCCTATGGGTTTCCCATACAGACATCCTAAGCCTCCCGGAAATTGCGGGAGTCTCCCGCATGTTGATAGCGTCTCCCTAATGTCCACAAATTAGTTAAAATCTCCTCGAATCTAGAGCAAGATAGAACATACTGCGCGCATAACATACATTGCGCACAACAGCAGAGAGGGAGAGAGCAAGAGAGAGACCTTGCGAATGCCGTGCGAAAGCTAGCCAGTACCACGCACACTCTCTCCCTTTACAGACTGATCTCATGAAATGGCTCAAAAATACGTATAGATAACACACCACTTGAATTGAAAGTGGCGTGTATGTTGACGCAAAAGTCATAATGTCATGTTGCCCTTTGGAACACCGCTGCACAAATCAGTCCAACACAGCGCTGTCAATGTCTGAGAACCAGCTTTAAAAAAAGTTATTAGCCAGCATGTAAGGACCCTATCTAATAAGGTGAGCTAAGTTATTATTAGAATACTGGTGGATTTTCAAGGTTACCACGCTGTATAGTTGGTTTATGGATGCAATCTAAATGTTTATTAGTAATATTAAATGTCCCTCTAGTAGACATAACGTGCAACAACAACCACAGGCTATGGTGACATTGGCGATCCATAAGAATGTGTAATGTCTAGGGCTGGGTATTGACACAAGTTTCACAATTCGATTCGATTTCGATTCACAAGCTTGCAATTCGATTTCCATTCAATTCAATATTGATTATTTTGGATATCAGTTACAATAAATGGCAAATTTTCTCAAGGAAATCAAGTCTCTTAACTAATGCTGTAAACTATGAGAGTCTAGTTGTAGCCTACTAGGCTTCATTATATATATATATATATATATATATATATATAAACATTAAAATGGTGGCTGTCATAAAAACTTCCCGGATTTATTCAAATTTGCATTAAATATTCAAGAACATTAAGATTATAATGCATATGTAATATGGTGTATATATTTAGCAAATTGCTCCTCTCAAGAGTTATTTTTTTTTTTAGCTGACTAACCAGTTTATGTAGATTTTCTGAGGTAAATATGACAATACATGACATTGATTACAAGCTGCTTAACTGACGTCTATCCACAGTTGAAACGCTAATTGAGCAAATCAATGTGACATGATACAGATTTGGATAAGTTGTACTCCATCTTTTAAGACACTTTCAGATGCTCATTCATGTTTATTTCGTGCTGTGACTGGTATTATTAAGCCAGAAGAAAAATCAGCGCTGCTGCTTCTCTTGAGCTGCGCCAGAGCAATCTCACGCCACAGTGCCAAAGCGTTATTTATGTTTTTTGAATTTCTAAACAAAATGGACATAATTTGAAAATTGAGACTTTGTTTCATATCAATAGTAACAAAGGACAAAGATTATTGTGATTCTTTGGGTGCGCGCAGCCGCGATACAATGATCCATTCATTCAAATGAAACAGGATGACTAATCGATTCAATAATCGATCAGTTCGTAAAAATGAAAATCGATTAATATCGAGAAATCGATATTTATTACCCAGCCCTAGTAATGTTGTAAATATTAATAATAGGATGAATTTGAGCATTTAATATTCGAATATTACATAAATATGGAATGGAATTCAAATAGTATTATAGAGGAAGATTGAGAGCCCTACTTGACATTGACCTAAAACATCAAAAATTAATTTCAAAGTGAATTATCCCTTTAAGGGCATCAGTAAATAAAGGAATAATTTTCATTTAAGACTGAACTACATCTAATGGTGATTACAACTAACACCACTGGCACATAATTGTTTTCAGCAATAAAACACTTTCAACCTGAATTTTCCATAAACAAATCCTTACCTTCTTTCACACACTTTCAAAAAAGTGGTACACCAATTGTCTTGCAATAATATTAACTTAATCCTGTGAAAACAAAGACATAATATGATTTATCATTGTAACATAATCTACACATCCTCTATTTTTCTCTTAGTAAGCAGAACTGTCACCAAAATGCAACCTACAAAGTTTTTGATAATCTACCATTGGCAAACTTTTCTTTAAAAGCAGAATGGAAACCCCACATTTAATTTTTTTACCTAATTTTATTCAGTCAAAGACTTTTGAACATGACAGCTAGGAGCACGACTACGATGGCATAAAAAAATAGCCACTTTTAAAACACTAAAGCTCCACACAACATGAAACTTTGCTCAGACTATCATCAGGAACTCTACACATGTAATCAAGCATTGAGAACATAATTTGTCTTTAAGTTTACTAAAAGGAAACTTTTGAAATTTTACATCCATCAACATTTTGTTGACATAATATGAATCAACCTTTAGGACATTTTTATCTTTAATCTCCTCCTGTGACATTGCATTAACCCAGGGGTGTCAACCTCAGTTCATGGAGGGCCACAACCATGCAGAAATTAGCTTGAACCCTAATTAAGCACATCTGATCAACTATTCAAGTCCTTCAGGCTCATTTGAAAACTGTAAGTATGTGTGTGTTGCCCAGGGTTGGAACTAAACTCTGTAGGGCTGGCCCCACCTGTTAAACCCCAATTTTGAAAAATCCAAAGAAATAGCATACCCAAACTAAAACAGATACAGTTCATGAATCCTTTGTACTAAAAGCACTAGCATGATCTCATTTGAAAGCCGACACCTCTCAGTTTATTGTAAATGTACATTAAATTAGTCATATTGAAAAAAAAACCATAATTATAAATGGCTTCAAAGTTTAATTAACTTATTAGAAATGTATTTTTATTAAACGTCTAAATGAAAAAAATGGCATTGTATCAATCAGTCTCACTTCACATTTAAAACCGTATCAACTGTCCTTTTTGAAAAAAGAAACATTTTAGTAAGCATTTATATTTAGAAAAAATGATAAAAATTACAGATGGTTAGCGGTGCGCAAGCTAGCTTGTTAACTTAGAACACCATCAATCCACGACAATTTACTAGATTAAAACCATGTTTCTGCTCCAAATTTACTTTATAACGAGACTTGAGTGTTTTAAATAATCTTTTGTGATCTAATTTGGCTTCAAGTAAAAAAAATAAATAAATAAAAAAAACAGAATATATATCGTTTTATAGTATTCTGCACAATGATAGTCTCGATTAGCATTCGTTTATGAATATTATAGCTATTATTATGAAAATACCTCACAAAGCTCGAAAAAGACAGGTAAATCAAATAACATTGCAATCATGTTTATTATCTTCAAACATCTTTATCTACATGTTACGACAAACTTCTCTGTTTCTGTCAAGACCTACCTGGAATTTCACATGGTAATGATTATTCTTCGTGTGGCCTATATAAAGAAATTTCTGTGCAGAGAGCGCCTTCAGGCGGCCAGTATGTATTGAAAACACAGTACTTAAGAACAGCAAGCGCTCATAAAGATTACATCGACGCATTTGGGTATCAATTCAATAAATATTATTCTTGTCTATAGAAATATGAGGTAAACCTATGCGAATCTATCAATATTCCCCAAAATCTGCACATTGTTGAGCTAAAAGCCCAGACGGACGTCGTTTTCTCAAGCGCTGTCATGACGACACCACAGGAGTTTTTTTTTTTTTTTTCCTGAATGGGAGGGTCTGACGGTCATAATTCATACCAGCTTATTTTTTTAATTACATAACTCCTCACACAAAATAAGATTAAACAGTTACTACAAGTTTCTCAGAATACAATAGTGGACAAATACTGAAACTTGAGTCATCTTTTTAACGATGTAAAAATTGTGGAGATAATATTAAATAATTATGATATAGTAACTGTAAACTAGGCCTAAAAAAACGCTTCACTGCGCCGACGCTCTGGCAACGGTTAAGATAAACTATTTTCAAAAGTAAATTTGACATTCAGTCAAACTTTAGTTAAACAAAAACACCTAGTTTGCATTTTGCCAACCATTATCCTCATCATAAACTTCTTGTCCCAAAACATACTTCAAATCTCATGTTTAGCACGTGGACACATAGGCCTATCCCTCAGATTAAATAATAAAACTTTAACACATAATCGTATGTCTGGTTTTGTCCCACAACCATCGAATATTCGACGTTTTTAAATAAACACACCGACTTTTTGAAACTTTAGCTTATTCACCGTATCCCCAGAGATAAATCAGTCATAGCCTACCTCATCTACTTACGTACATTTGCCATCAAAACATCGCACTCTGAACAACATAAAATATATGAATCCAATAATGTATTCACACGACCATAATACTATTAGAAATTTGATACAGTAATCAAAACTGTCAAATGCTTAATTGGTAAACTATATTATTCGGATTCTTTGGACAACACAAAGAACTGTTACTTACCGTTGCTTTATACAAAATGGCGTACGACCACGATAGCTGCTGCTAAAGAACAGCTCCCCTAGTGGTAAAATAAATACATAAAACATCAGGACTCAAATAAATTAAAGGGATAGTTCATTTTGAAATTAATTTTTGATAAGTTTTAGCTTACCTCAAGGGCATACAAGATAGGTGTCTTTGTTTCCACAGTATTTTCAATTTTGATGTTTTTTTGGTCAAACCGTTGTCGTCACTCAGCCATAATGCAGGTTTAAGAGGTCACGCTGGGTACACCTCAAAGAGCATGCACAGAGAAGTCCAAATTAAACATGATTTAATGACTCGTAAATGTAAGTACACATTGATGGCCTAAGACCAAAAGGAACAATTTTTGTGAGAAAACAACAGTATTTATACCACAGTCATGTCCAACTGATCTGAAGACACGGGCGCTTCGTTCAGCGCATGCGGCGGAAGTGATCGCTTGCGCGTGTACATCACTCATTGTTTAAACAGAGATTTCAGAAGTTTTACCTTTCACTAAACATATTTAGATTCCATTCCATTGCAATTTCCTGTACATCTAAATATGTTTAGATCTTCACAGTGAAAGGTAAAACTTCCGAAATCTCTGTAAACAATAAGTGACATACACGCTCAAGCAATCACTTCCGGCACATGCGCAAACTGAAGCATACCTTCAGGTTGCACATGTCACTGATTATACAAGGAAAAAACTATAAATACTGTTAATTTTCTCACAAAAAAACGCTTGTTTCGTGTCTTAGTCCATCAATGTGTACTTAGGCTACATTTACGAGTCATTGAATCATGTTTAATTTAGACTTCTCTGTGCATGCTCTTTGAGGTTTTTCGAACCGAGGGTGAAAACATTCAGTAATTATATGACTGACCAACAACAACACTTTGATAGAAAATTATCAAAATTGAAAATACTGTGGAAACAAACACACCTATCTTCGATGCCCTTAAGGTAAGCTAAAACATATCAAAAATGAATTTCAAAGAACTATCCCTTTAAACATGACAATATGAAAATTTCCTTATAACTAGTACAAAAGAGGCCACATTAACACACCAAACTAAGGGTTAAATTTTTACCTCTCGCAAATATTCAAAAACTTCTCTAAAGTTACTGTCAGGGTTAGGGTTAAGCTGACAGCAAAAGCTTTAACTGTCAGCAAAAGTTTTAACTTACACACCCACAAGACAAATGTGAAACAACAAAACATATATTAGGCATAAAAAAAAGTTTGGTTCCAATTGTTTGTCAGTTTAGGTCATGGGTCAGTAGGAGATTTTTTTTCTTTTTTTTTTTCTTTTCTCAGTGGCAGTAAGAAACATTGGAAAGATAGGCTATTATAAACATAACACTAAACCGCCAATAGGTGGTGGCAGGCGGCCGTATTAATGAGTGAGTCAGTAATTCATAAATTCAAACGATTCGTTTAAACGGTTGATTCATTCAAGAATGAGACAAATGTTAATGAAGGGGTCATTGAATCTTTGACTCAACCGATTCGTTCAAAATGCTGAATTATTCAGTAATGAAAAAGAATGGGTGTTCCTGTGAGATTCACCGTGGTTCTACTGTGATTTTTGTTTGGAGCTATTTTCGCTGCTGAAACAGAACAAAAACAGCCTATATTGCATCTAAAATCATGTAAGTGACTAAAATGTTATTGTTTATTGAACTGTTGTAGAAAATCAATGTCACATTTTCAATCGTGATCGTATTCAGGAAAACAATTGAGCCTGCTTAATACATATGTTAAAATATAGCAATATAAAATATAACATTTAGATGTTTTATAGGCACTATGTTGTTAACTGAGTTTGTGTGTGTGTGTCTGTGTGTGTGTGTGTCTGTGCTGCGCACCTGTATGTAGATCTCCTCGAGAGGCTGCACAAGCGTCAACAGCGCAACCATCAGTAGGCTAATAATCAATCGCAACTTACAATAAATTTAATAAAATCAGAATCATTCTCTCGGATTAGTGATTATTGATATGGATGTTCTAATCAGGCTACTTGTCCTTTCGGGCAAGTAAAATTCTCTTTTATTTGCCTTTCAAAATTCGTCCCGGACAAGCGTACCAGGCTCTGGAGATACAAAGCGCAGGTTAGAGTGTTTTGGATTGCATAAAATAATAAAAGAAACGAACAAATACATGGCAAATGAACTGGTAGACAGTAGAAGAGGGGCTTAGGATTTGGGATGATTTTTAATGAAACTTGGGAGGCAAATGAAAGTTACACTTTAACGTATCATGTGGTGTGTGCTTGCCTAATGCATGCATTTGTATGTGTATGAATAAAAGTGTCCTAAAATGAAAAAAAAAAAAAAAAACAAAAAAAAAACAAAGACTTGTACATTATAGTTCAGTTTGACCAACGATGTGTGAAATAGTTCGCCACAATTGTTTTATTCGTGTATTAATTTCATTTTTTATTATTTCTTCCCCAAGCCCATAAAATAAATTTCAGTCGCACATAATTAGACAGGGTCGGTCGGAAACCGGAACCAAACTATTTTTTTATGCCTTATTTAATAATATAACTACTCATAACTAAACCAAGCACTGCATAAAAAATCCACCATAATACCTCACTTATGACAATCATGAATAAAACTGAAAGACATCTGCAAATAAAGAATGAAGAAAACCATAAATACACTGGCACCTCCTGTGCAAAAAACAAATTTTACATCTACCTAGCTACACATCGCTCCCTGCACATCACAATATCAGTATCTCAAATCACACAATGCATGTTACTCAATTTGATAAACAAGTTATCAAACGTCTCAAACACACAAAAATAGTCTAAAGCATTTTCCCCGACCACATTTCAAAAAATGCATATGTTAACATTACTTTAATTCTTAGCCAAAATTACATTATTCACCAAACCACCAATAGCATACTTCACCTTATCCCAAGAGTTACATTTCAGTCTTACCTTTTAATTTCAATGCATGCATTTGCCATCAGCACATCATACTTACAATAACATCACAATAAATACATAAACCCCAATAATCTATAAGCTAATCACACGACCAACCCCAATACTATTACAAATTTGATAATCAAAAGTGACAAACACATAATTGGTAAACAATATTATTCGAATTCTTTGGACAACAAAAATAACTGTTTCTTACCGTTGCTTTATACAAAATAGACTACAACTACAATGCTGCTACCTTAGAACAGCTCCCCTAGTGTTAAAATAAATACACATAAAACATCACGACTCAAATAAACAAAACATGACAAAATGAACATTTCCTTAAAACTAGTACAAAACATGCCACATTAACACACCTAACTAACAGTTTCATTTTTAACCTCTTGCAATTATTCAAAAACTTCTCTAAATTCACATTCTCAGGTTAACTTTTAACTTACACACCCACGAGACAAATGTTACACAACAAATCATAACATGTCGACATGTCATCATAAGCATGACCTGAGCCTACATGCAGCGTTGCGGCGCTGCGCCACCTACTGGTCCGGAGATATGAAAAATGGCTATTTTTGCTCATAACTTCTGAACAGTTTCTCCAAATATCATAAACTTGGTCTCGTTAGATTCAAGGCGTCATGCCGAGTTGACCGATATCCAATTTTCCCAGCTCGGCCATTTTGGCTGTCAGCCATTTTGAATTATGTGCTAAAATGCTGTATTTTTGAACACATGAACGAATTGTGACAAAACTCAGTATGGGTCATCAGTACGATGCCCTGAAGGAGCCTGAGAACTTTCGGAACAGCGCCACCTAGTGGTGATTTTTTTTTCCAAACGCTTATAACTTTTGGTGTGGTACACTTATTTTCACTGGAGTCATCCTTTTGAGTTCCTGAATCGTTGCCGAGTCCAACGATATCAAATATGTCGGGTTTCGTCTTACAATTTGTGTAGCGTAGTGATTTAGTAGGAAAAAAACATGTGGCAATATCTTCGAAACCGCTGCTCCGATCAAGACGAAACCACCGTCAGAAAAACGGAAACATAGCTCGTTAACTATACGCAAATGCCCAAATGCGAAAATATTGATAGTAAGGGGTAGTAAAATTCAAACAAAGTCATGTGTCAGTCATTTTTTACGTGTTTTTTCATATAAATGTTTATAACTCGGAAGCATATTGAGATATTTACACCAAAATTGACACACATATGTATGGGGTCAC